TGTTATCTGCATATGCAATTGCTGCTTAGTGATGGCTTGTAATGTTGTTACAGTATATTCTTTCTTTAAACTCTTGTTCTACTGTATAGCCTAACCTTTTATCTTTCTGTATCTTTTCTAATAGTGGGTCATAAAAAAGACATCATATTAGTGATGATATCATTTCACTTTGATTTATTCTATCTCCTACTGTTATTTCTTCTGTCAGCCCATATGCTGTGATTATTTTAAGCTGTCTTTTATAAAAGAGGTTTAATATGTATTTAATTATCATTTTGGGTATTTTGACTCTTTGTAGAACTAGCTCAAGACTTTCAAGTGAAACTAAGTCAAATGTCTTTTTTATATCTTGTAGGAGTATCTACACCTCTTTATTCTTTTTTTTTGCTTCTTCCATTATTATGTTTAGAATATGTATGGGTTGTTTTGTTGAGTTTCCTAGTAGGTCTGCATAGTTTAGTCCTTTAAGTATTTCTCTCACTGTAAATATTTTGCTAAGTTTTTTCATTATTGACTTTGTTACAACCTTTCTGAATATTTTAATTAGAGCTATTGGATGAATGTTATTTAAACTATATTTCCATTCTATGTCTTTGGTATTGGATATACTTGTGATATTTTCTATTTTATTGGTATCTCTCCTATTTCTAAGCACAAATTTATATAGGCTCTAAAAACCTCTTGAGTTTTCTTTCCTGCTCGTTTGATTAAGGTATAACTTATTTCTAATATTTCTGGAGCTGTTTCTGTCTTAAGTTCTCTAATTATTCCATTCTATTCCTCTTCTTCAATTTTTTTTCAATTTTCTTATACTATTCTTCTTTAATATAGTCTTGTGGTTTATAAATTTCTTCTCAGCTTTCTGATATCTTTTTTAATTTTATATTTCTTTTCCTAAACTGCTTCTCATAGTGTTCTACTATTGCTTCCTTAACTAGTTCTGTTTCTATTACTAGTTTAGTTTTTTCTTCTGTTTGTTTAATTATTTTGTCAAATATTATTTTCTTATATAGCTTGTTTAAAAGGCTAGCTATTATCTTCTTTTGATTAGTTTTGATTATTTCACATCTTTTGTCTATATTATCTTCTATTTGTTTTCTTTGTTTCTGTTCTTATTCTTTTTTTCTTTTCTCTTGCAAGATTTTCTGCCAGCCTTTTATATCCTCTATCCAAGAATTAGACCATTGTCTTTGGATTTTTGGTAGTCTTGCACCAATTTTCTTGCTAAGCATCTTGAGATTTCTATTTATTTTATTTTTGTCTGCTTTTGTTACTTTCTGTTCTCTTTTTGTTTTTACATACTTGACTAGTCTTTGAAGCTCTATGATAATTTTTCTTTGCTGTTAATTTTTTTGGCTATGTCTTCTGTTTATCATTATGTTGTAAACCTTCTTCTTTGATATATGTTTGTTTGCTGCTGTTATAATTGCCTCTTCTATTATATCCCATATTTTATTAATTTTTTATATTTTCTTTTTCTCTTTTTGTTTTTCTCTTTATATGTTTCTTAAAGTTTCTTTTATCTTTAATCTCTTCTGTATCTCTTGCGCATAACTCTTTTACTCTTCTTTTTTTGCTTAATCATATAGATATATTGTTTTTGATTAGCCTTTTTTTTTGACTTCTGCCTTGCTATTTTTTGTAATCATATGTCTTATTCATATTTTTGCTATAACTATCTTGTAATCACTTTCAGTGATTTCTTCTATATCCTCAATTTCTGCTCTTTGTAGACCTAAAGCCAGTCCTTCTTATATCTATATATAGTTAATTCTTGTTGCTGTTTCTGAGTTTAACCATGTCTATCTTTGTTCCATTGGGTGCATTTTTCTATATATATTATAAAAGTCTTGTCTCTTTATCCAACTAAATAATGATAATCTTTTATAGCTTGCAGCTTGTAGATTCTGCCTATCTAGAAAATTGTTTACTATGTAATTAAAGTCTCCTATAATTATTATTTATGTTCATCTATTCTTTTTTGTAATAATTTCAACTATTTTTTGTTAAATGTTTTTTCTTACTTTTTTGTTACTTGGTGGTATATAGACTCCTATTACTATTAATTCCATTTGCTTGAAGTATAGTATAATTTCTATTATGTACTCATTTATCTTTCTGACTGTGCCTATATGTTTTGCTCATTGTTCTTCTATTGACATCCCTACATCTGATTTCTTTTTCTTGTTTTCTATTGCACTATTCCAAAAACTAACATATTTTTCTATTGTTTTGTATAGTAAGAATTTTCCTTCTCTCTTTGCAAGATTTATTTCAGTAATTTCCAGTATTGTAATTTCTTCTTCTTCTGCCCAGCTGAGCAGGTTTTCAAGTTTTCAACCTTTGGTTTTTAGTTCATTAATATTGTGACATGCTACTTTTATCTCTTTTTTTTATTTCTTTCTACTTCTCTTTTAACTAGTTTTGTAATAATTTTGTGTTAACTACTTTTTTTTTCCTTTTCTGCATTTCTTTTCTTTTAAATAAAGAGATACTATTTTTTTTTTAAAAACTTCTCTTTCTCTTTGCAGAAAATTCTCAACTTCCTCATCTGTTCTTGTTAATTCAACTATGGCACCTTCAGAAGTGATCTGGTTGGGCCTTTCTCCAGCTATCTTCAATTTTTCTAGTCTTTCTAGTATTTGACCTAATATGTTTTCTATGTTTGATGCTTGCTCTTGTGTCTTTCTTATATTTCCAACTTCTTTTCTTAGCCTATTTTCTTCCTGGTCTGTAGTTGCTGAATTTTTTTTTCATTTTTTTTTGTTCTGATAGCTTCTGTTTCCTTGTTTATTCTTTCTACTATTCAGTCTTGTGTTATATTTATTCCTCTATATATACTTTTCTGGATCTGTTTGCTCTTCTTCTAAGTCGAGATCTTTTATTTCTTCTTTCTTTTGTATCTTTTGTATCTTATTGCTACCTTTATAAGGTTGATCATCTAATCTTTTTGGTTTGACTTCCCAGAATATCAAGACTCTATTGTACCAGACCTTCTTTCTGATAGTTATATTTATATCTTTCCAACTTTTAAATAACATTACTGCATAATTCCTTGGTCTTTTCTATCAGTTTAGTGGAATATATATTGCTATCACCTTTCGGTTTTGAGTTTTTATAGTAGAATTAGTTCAGAGATTCTCTTTAGTATTTTTATTAGTCTTGCTGTGAATTGGTTTCTTTCTTCTTTTTTCATTTCTTTTTTTTTACCTATTGTTATTCTTGCTAACTTTTTATTTTTTAAGGGAATTACCCATAGAAATGCTTGTTCTTTTTCTCTTTTTACTTTTATTACTGCCATTGTTCTGTATGCACTTCTTCTGATTCAGCATTCTATTACTTTACCTATCTTTCTTAGTGCCTGGATCTGGTTATATCCGAATATAAAGAGGATAACAGATATTTATTTTGAATAGAGGATTAAAAATGCAGATATTATTTTTTAAAGTACCAAATCCAGTTTTTATTCAGATATAATGACCTATATAATAATTTGATCAAATGCTATGTATTATCGAGGCAAAATTAGACTAGGCTTCTCTACTTGAGGTGTTACAATTTGACGAGTACTTTTCTTTCACTACTTTATTGTTTGTCAACTAACACTAAACTAACTAACACTACAACAAACAAATAACAAGTTTATTTATTTCACAGCGGCTTCTTTATTATGATCTTTGGCCTTTCTTGGACATACCAAAATACAATTATATTAATGCATACTAACTAATTCTATTTTTTTATCAGGCTTTTTCTAACAATTTCCACAGCTCAATTGTTCATCATGCGCTACTTTGAAACTTAGAGGTGTGACCTGATCAATTTTGTTATATAGAAAAATTGATCAGGTCACATCTCTACTGAAACCTAATTGACATGCATTCAAACCATGTCCAATTTTGTGCATAAGCCTTGTTGATATTGTTCAATCATGGAGGCAAATGCATGTACTCGAACAGGTTTTCAGGGTACGATCATCGATCATGTTCTTTTTGGTCATGGTGCATTTTGCCTGTGACAGTGTAAATGATCTATCTCTCCTTTCTGGTTAGTTCATAATATAATTTATGTATTTTTTTTTTGTGAATTCTAATGGTTATTGAAGACTACAAAGTAACTCAATATTTTCAATACATACTATATAATATAATTATTTATATCTGCAGTATCTATTAACTATTAGAATAACTTCATTTTCAGTTTTAGTACAATAAATTTATCAAGAATTCTGTATGCCTTAGCTGAGACTTATCGAAGAATGACTATTTTAAATCATTTTGATATGTGCTAAGTAATTTTTGAGATATTTGCTATGTCACAAATCTATTAGTTTGATAAATATAATCAAATTTGCATTACTTTGTTGTAAAATGTACATTTAAATTTAACAAAAAGAAACATCCCTATACGTACATATGTATATAGAATAATTTATACATCTGATTGATGCATGCAATCAAAATTGAATGAAACATGCATAATCGCCCATGCATATGACCAGGTTAAAAGTGAAACATATCCAAAAGGTGTAGGTTTCAGGATGGCAAGATTAAAGAAATGAATTAGAAGGATTTGTTATATTAGTAAAAAAAAAAAGGTTTAGTTAGTGTATAAGGCGGAAAAGATCAAAAATGAGTAGATAAAGAAAAACTTACCCTATTGAGTATCTAAGAATGATAGAAGGAAGAAAGTGGTGTGAAAAATGTTAAGTAAGAATCTAAAAATAGAATAGCTAGTGAAGATATATAAAAGCAGTGCTAAAATTTTAATAAAATACTTATCTTTTGTAATTCCCAAAGTAATTGGGTTGAAAATTTCCTTGGCATAGTGGGAAAGCATTTGTTAGTACTTGATCCGTCTTAGTAAAACACAATAAAAAAAAACCCCCCAAATACTTGCCCAAGCCTTTTAAACACACCTCTAAGTGAACTATCCTATTCTTTAACCCGGTTTAATAATAACAAACAAGATGTCAAGTATTAAAAAATGAAAATCTAAAGACTTAACTGATTCTAATTCAATATCAAATTCTGATATCGATTCTGAAACTCTTTCTGAAAACCCTAGCACTTCTAGTGACAAAACATTAAGTGAAGACAATATTAGTACAGATCATAATAATAACACAGATTATACAGATCAGTTTGATGAAGATAATGGTTCCATTATTAAAACTAAACTACAAAAAAATAGTAGTTGGATTTGGCAGTATTTTCGCAGAAGGCATCTATCACGAAAATGGAAAACACATGCAAATTGTACTGTAATCATAAAAACTAAAAAATCACCAAATGGACGAGAATGTGGTCAGTTAGTTAAAACTCAAGGTTCGACTGGTAATTTTCAAACATATTTAAATACACATGTAATTACCAAACCTACTAAAATTACAAATACAACTACACAACCAACAATCACTGAAATGTTTTATTATGCTACTAAACAAAATTCTCATCAAAAAGAGACTATTGATCATGCTTTGACAAAATGGATAGTTACAAACTTACAACCTCTTTATGTCCTACAAAATGAAAGTTTTATTGAATTTGTTCATGCATTAAACCTATATTATGAATTACCATCTGATAAATCTGTAAAAGCGCTAATTCACAAAAGTTTTAACTATTCATCAGATTGTTTTAAAGTTCTTTTTGCAAAAAAAATTAAAACATGTGAACTGACATGTGATTTTTGAACCTCTCATTCTAAAAGTGGTTATATGGGAGTTACATGCCATTTTATTAATTCTAATTATGAATTAAAAAAAGCCTTAATTGCAATTAAACTTGTTTTATATCCTCATGATGCTGTAACTATTAAGAATGAATTAGAGAATATAATTGATAACTGGAAGCTTTCTAATAAAGTGATTTCAATTACAACTGATAATGCTACTAACATGATAAAGGCTATTAACTTAATGGAACATGTGGAACGAATTCCTTGTGCAGCACATACACTCCAGCTTGCAATTGGCAAAGGGTTAAAACCTGCTGAAGTGTTGGTAAAACATGCAAAATGATTAATTAATTTCTTAGCTACACCTAAACAAAATAAACAATTACAACAAGCACAAGAGTTATTAAAAATCTCAAAAGAACAAATTGATGATAATGAACAAAAATTTCTTCATGCGATATCTGATACTCCAACATGTTGGAATTCTTCATATATTGCATGGAAGTGACTCCTTTAAATTAAATGTGCTATTAAATTAATGGAAGTAACTATGAATGCAGATACTAATTATAATATTCGTAAAGATGCAATTTATTTAAAATCATTGATGATTACAGAAGAAGAATGGAGAGTTCTTGAGGAACTAACTGTACTTTTGGCCCCTTTTGCTAAGATTACCGAATTACTAAATAGTAGTAATTATTTTATACTTAGTTTTATGTGGCCAGCTATTACTACTCTTACTAGAAACTGTGAACCAATATTGGCAAATATAGATGAAGAAATTAATTTAATAAGTATATTAACTATTTTTGATGAGAAAGAAGAGGAAGATATTGTTAATTTGGATGAAGAATTAGAAATTATTACTACTGCAAATGGAAATAAAATCAAGCTTAGTCAACCTCAAGATACAGATGATTTAGTAGAAAAAGTAAAAGAAGATTTACATAAAGTGTTATATTATTATTGGAACATACTACTTAATAGTTCACTGATTGCAATGTTACTTGACCCTTACTGTAAATCAATGAACAAACTTGATAGTTGGGAACATGATAAGGCCATTAGTCTTTTGCAGGAAGAATATAATTTACTTAATACTGAAAATGAAACTGTTACTAACTTACAGACTAAAGAACAAAATGAGAGTCAAATAAATCTTTTTTCAATAATGTTCAGATTGGATACAACATCAACACCTCATAAGAATGAAATAGACAAATATCTTAAGATTGATCAAGTACCAGTTACAACTGATCCACTTAATTGGTGGAAAGGTATTCAACAAAAGCTTTCAACCCTTGCTGGTTTAGCACACAAATATTTGGCCATGCCTGCTATATCAACACCAAGCGAACAGTTATTTTTAAGCACGGGTAATTTAATGATATCAAAGTGTACATAAATTAACACCAACTTATTTGAAAGAATCCTTTTCCTTAAATGAAATATTAACATCTTAGGTACTATATTTGAATCTCAATTAAAATAGCATATATATAAAAAAGGTTAGTAATTAATGAATTTAAGACTTAAAATAAGTTCAGTTACAAATATTCTCTAAAAACATCTTTTTCAAATGCATATGTTTTTAAAATTTAAATATGATCCTGAGATGCATATAAAGTATCTTAAATTGGTATTATATTCATTTATCCAATGCAAAGACTAGATAAATAAGATTATGATTTTTTTGTTTGATTATTTTATTATTTTTATCTTTTATAAATGGCTTCAATTTATTATACTATATCTTATATAAAGATTGCAGATAATTGCAAGCTATTGGAAGTGGCTTTAGACCTTTAACTATGAATATTTTAAAAATATATATAACTGCTTCCCTTTGAATAAAGAACATTTTTCCTTTTGTAATAACAATTTATTAATATATTACATTAATTCTGTCCTTAATACACAATAATCTTATATATATGTATGTATATTCATTCATAATTACTGAATTTAGCACATTTAAAGAGTACTGATATGTTGTAAAGGGCAAGATCAACATTGCCAAAAAAAGTTAAAGTATTTGCAAAAGTGCTGAAAAGAAATATATATTACTTAACAAAGAATAATAGAATACTTATCTGAACCTGAAAATATCTTCTCAAGCCTTCCTAACCTTAATTACCCAGACCAAGTCTTTTTATGCCTTATCAAAGCCTTACTACTATTAGGATAGTAGAATAAGATTAGTATGTATTAGTGTAGAGTTGCTCTTATTTTCGCCTAGTGGCTATTTTGATGCAGCGCAATATACATATGTATCGCAAGAAATTTAAAAGTTTCAATGTTTCTATATAGAATAATGCATAAACTGGCAGCATATTGAAATCAATTTCTTAAACTATCTATCTCAATAACAATTTTTGTGCATAGAATTATATGCCAAAAATAATAGCAATGTTTTATGCATACTAAAATAAGCCACTACTGAATTTAGCATATCTTCAATATGTTGTCCATATAAAGTGATTGTGATTTTTAGATTTTCTGCACTGTACATATATACATACGTATATACATATTCAAACTGATGTTTTTTAGAAATGATTGTTTGTGCAAGATATTATTTGCATTAGTAGGGTTGAGAAATAAATATGTATATGTTTTGCCTCAGATTAATACTTACATCAGATGTCAGATGCACAATAATAATATAACCAAAGTTAACAAATCAGCCTAATCCTAATCCTAACTCTATCCTTAGCTTAGGCCAAAGTGACATTTGACACAAGCATAAATCTGAAGCACAACATATATATTTACAATGCTTGTAAATTAATTAATGAAATACTGTAAATTCAACATTTATTCTGCAATTATCTATATTAATCTATATATGCTCAGAAATTAAAAATAATTGAACAAGTAATAATATATAAAAAAAATAGATATGTTTAGTCTTTAAGCTGGTTTTTCACTTTGTTTCTATATGTTGATAATATAATATGTTTAGTCATGCTTACTAAAAATTAAGAATAAAGTGGTTTAAAATATGCAATGTTTTAAATCATGTTTATATTAACTTTTAATTCAAAATATAAAGTAACTTGGTTATCATATGAATGCTGCTGAAGAAAAACCTTATATCAGATTTTCAATTATACTTTGTACCAAAAATTATCTAATTTATTAGGGTTGTGTCAGGTACAAAATATTATTAAAGGGCTTTTTTTGGTGGCACTTATATGTTAAGATAATTAAAAATATGTAAGAATAGCAGTCATTATATCTTAGAAATAATGTTATAATTAAAGGTAAATTTATCCAATCAGATATAGTTTCAGTTTAACCTTTAGCTGTTACAATCACTGATGTCTTAAAACATATTTTAAAACAATTTAAAGACATTTTTTCCAAAAATTTTTAGAATTGAAATCCAGATATAATCCAGATTAAAAACTGGATAAGCAATATATATCCATTTATAAATCTAAATTAAAAAATATAAAAGAGAATACATATCTGGATATCCGGTTATATATCTGGATCCAAGCATTAATCTTTCTTACTAGGTACTTAATTTTATACTCTGTCATCCTCTTTAGCAAATCCTATACAGTTACTGCTACTGTGTTTTCTTTATTTCCTTTGTCTATATTTTCTTTTCCTTGGTTGTGTAAATTGTCTTCTGTTTTCTTAGCTTCTTCTTTATTCTTCTTTTCTTTTATTAGCTCATCTTTCTGCTTTAACTTCTTGCTTTTATTGGTCTTTTCTTTTTCTGATTCATCTGTGTTTGGAATCATTCTAAACTAATCATTATGTTTCCTTTAGATTTTGTTGATTGCTTTTTCTCTGCCATATTTGCAGTCAAACATGACAATAATCCAACATTACCTCTCTTAAACATTTCTTTGATCTCTTTAACATGTTTGTTGAATACTAGCAATCTTTTAACGAATTTTGTTCTTTCTTCTTGTAAACTACCTGGCACATTATATGCTAGTATTTTTGTTATATACATTCTTTCATTACTGCATTTTCTGTTCGAGGGTAACCAGATGTTTGGTTCTAGTGATTCTTCTATAGTCTTATCTCTGTTTTTCTTTCTTTTAGTTTTATGGATTTCATCTTTTTTATTTCTCTCAGTTTCTTCTTAGTTTCTAATTGCCATAATGATGTTTTTATAGTCTTCTTGCATTATGTCTGTTTTCAATATTTTTATTTCTTCTTTTATGTAGTTGTTTATTTTTGTCTCTTTGATCATTATGCTTGTTGTTTCTATATTTGTAACTTCTTTGCTTTTCCTTCTTTTTTGTTTCTCTTTCTCTTCTAAACTTGTATTTTGCCATAGCTCTTTTTTATTTATTATTATGTCTATTGCTTTTGTCTTTTGTCTTATTTTCTTTATATACAATTCTGATGTATTGTTTTCCTTTTTTGATACTGTTTGGACTTTTTTGCTTCTCATACTTTGCACTACTAGTGGGTGTTGGCTTGTGCAGTTTATCTTTTCTGCCTATTTTTCTATGCTTGTTGGGTCTCTTATGTCTACTTTAATTATTGCTTCATATATTTTTCTTAGCATTACTGTTTTTATTAAATCTGTTTTCTATAGTGCTGCTGTTACTACATCTCTTATATTGAAATGGTGGTCTCTATTGGCTAGTTCTTGCTCTAATTCTTTGCTGCCTATGAGCTTTAGCATTGCCTCTGCTCTTTTACTTACTAATTTTAGCATTATTGACTTTTTTGCTTTTGCTTATGTCATTTGTGGCTGTGTTCTGTGCTGCTTTGTTTATGATCATGTGCACTTTATAATACTTATGTATTTACTTTATCTATATTTGTACGTGCCTGTTTGTTTGTTTTTTCATATGCTTACATGTTTCAAACAGATCTGTGATTTCAGATCTAAGCTATTTCTCTAAAATTTTTTTTTTGAGATTTGTTTGAAAAGTTTGTCTTTTTTTACTTGCTTCTTGACTTGTTTCTTCTATTGCTTTACTTGTTAGTTCTATTTTTGAAGCTCTCTCTTTTTTTTTAAGTCTTTAAGTACAGTTTTGACAGTAGTTTTCCTGTTAGTCTTAATTTTTGTTTTTGCAGGTTTTGTGTTTTAGTGATCAGCAAAAAAAGGTGATTTAAGATACTTTGTTGCTTTACTTTACTTTACATATTACTTAAAGAGCTTAAACATCTAATAAAAATTGTTAACTAAATTTTTAACAACTTTAATACTAATATAATAAACTCTAAAATTTAGAAGATTAATAACAAATTCTATTGTAACCTTTAAGTCCTTAACACAAATAACTACTTTCAAAATTATATATAGATTTAATATATATAAAATATCTAAAAACAACTATATCATGCTTATTATATAGAAAACTTTAACAATAAATGTACAAATTCTTCAAAAATCTAAAGTATTATTTGGCTAAAAGATAATACCAATACAGACCAATATTATAATTAAACAATTTTTTTTAAAACTAGCAAAAGAACATATATTAAATAATTATTTAAATTTAATTAAAAAAATCAAAGCTTGATATAAAAATTCAAAAACTATATCTAATCAAAATGCTAATCTTATATATAATTTGTAGAAAGTTGTATTAGATTATAAAAAACATTTTGTTTTTTGATTACTTATATTACAAGCAATCTATAAAATTACTAATATACTAATTGGGTTGTTATCTTCTAAGTGGCAGATCTAAGGTTCAAATCCCACTTATGATAAAATTTAGAAATTATATCTGTATTATAGTAACTGTTTTCTGTCAATCAGTTGACCTTATGCAACTGTAACCTAGATACACCAAGTCAAGTCCTACTAACATTGGAAGCTCAGAGCATCTATACAAAGTATAACATTACATATATATAGAAAAATGTATAACCAGACTTCAGTGCAAATCTATAATAAGACCACTAGATGTAGAAAACTAAGGAATCAAGGTGACAAAAACCCACTTAGAAATTTCTGAGTAAAAAGATACATAAACTTTTGATAGTATCATCAGACTAGTTGAAGCCCATGAAACATTTTTATAGAAACTAAAGATTAAATCATATGTCAAATATATGTAGAAGAGCATATAACCAACTAGATTACCAGACTCACTAGAGGAAAAAAATACAGAAGTATACCATATTAAGTCATTTGAATTGGTAGTTTGAAAGAAACTGCCAGTTCCAAGTTGCAACTAGTAGAGGATAATAGAAAAGATGTCAGAAAAATAGGTATTGGGGTTCTAGTGAACTTTACAAGAGTAGAAATAGTGTAATGTAGTAGTTAAATAGATAACTCCTATAACTACAAATATTAGATAACTATAGCATGTTGCATAAAACTAGGTTAGTATATATAAGATATAAAGGCTCTAGTAAGTTTTCTATCAAGGATAAAGTAGTTCTAAGAGTACTGATCAGTATTGAAAACTTGGA